TGGATCGTGGGTCCAATTCCCCCTAGATGAACATAAACAAATGCAGTACACCCAAACACCCGTATATCATAAGCATACAAAATTTTAGTTTGAGGAAATAAGTGATGAAAAAATCAAGAGTTGACTTATTTTGGAGGGCACCGAGTTGATGTCCATTAGCGAGGTAATGTTCCATAAATGTGAAGGTTTAGATAAATATGATAAAAGATAGGAATTACCAGATACATAATCGGAAGCACTTGATTTAAGAATCCACCGATTCGAAAAGTTTGAAACACAAGCTCTAAACACGCCTTGAGAAAGAATGGATTTCTTGAATTCTTGGCAATCCTCAAATTCATCTTGTGAAAGTACAATTGGAGATGGTGAAATATTGGCTGATTTAGTATTGAAATTAGGCATGCTCATTAAGGCCATAACGTAGGGTTTGAATTTGGAATTTCAGGAAGAGTGGTCCAACGATGGCGTGTGTGACTTCCGGCTGCAGAACAATAGTACCATAATTTCTGCACGCCATTTGATTTCCTTTCTTTTGGTATGGGTGTTGTCGCCGTAATAAAAAAAGAGCAGCGTATAACAGTAGATCTCACGAGGAGTGGTGCAATTTCTTTGTAACTCTAGCGACGCGTGTCCTGGTGCAGTGGTGGTGAGTTTCCACGTGGTAGGTCGCGATGGTGAGCTGAGCAGAACGGTAGGTTGATATCACTACCGAAAGCACTTTAATGCTCATTGTGCCAAAATTTCTTCCCGCAATCTATGCCGGAGATGTATGACACTGGTATGCCATTTTGGCTCTAATAACTTGTGAAATATAACTCTCATTCTTATTATCGATGATTTTCAAGGTTTACAAGAATAGCTATAACTAAGGCAAACAACACAAAGTGGCTAGGCTCAATGATACTAGGGTTAGGATTTCAACAAATATATCCTTATATTTTTAAAAATTCACACGTTTCACCCACATTTTGTATCCTACTCCCTCCGTCCCTCAATACTTTGCCAAGTTTGACCGACACGAATATTAATAAAGTAAAACTGTGTGATTGAGGTTTGTGCAGAGGAAAGAGAATTAAGAGAATTAACTGGAACCAGAAATTTTGTACTTAAAAGGGAAAGTGGCAAAGTTAGTGGGACATCCAAAAAAGAAAAGATGGCAAAGTTATAAGGGACGGAGGGAGTATAATATTTCAAATTCTCGTTTCTTGTGTTTCACGTTTGCCGTTTCACGTTTCCTGTTTCCCTTTTGTGTGCTACATAGCTAACAGCCGAGAAAATAGTCGAGTGGTCAAGGTGTCTAAGGTTGATTAAGCTTTTTTGGACATGATAGAACCCTTGGTGAAGAACCTCACAGTAGGAGTTAAAGAGAGGGGTAGAGATACCCAAATAGACTGTTAGATGGGTGATGGAGAGAGAAGAGGCTTAGACGAGATCAAGTGTCAAGCTTTGATACCATGAAATTTTCTGAGAGTTATCATTGAATGAAGAAGTACAACCCTATATTTATAGGAAATTAATTCTAAGGTAAGAGACACCTAGGAAGTTGTTCAGAAACTCTAGGTAAAAAGAACAGACACTAGTGACTAATATTATTTACACACTGAATAGACACTTAAGACTCATAATTACAGAAATAATAAAGAAACTATTGCCTAACTAATGATGTCTCTTAGGCAAGGTTGTTAAAATCACGATTTGAATCGTAAAATCGTACTAGGAAAACAAAATCCTAGAAATCCTAAACCAACTTTTATTCCAAGATGAGCCAGAATAAATCCTAACAAGGGGTTTAAATACCCATCTACTAATAATTAAACTAGGAAAACAAAATCCTAGAAATCCTAATCAACTCTAACTAGGAAACAGAATAATAAAGATCCTAATCAACTCCAAATAGGAAAGAAATAATAGAAATCCTAATTAACTCCTAATAGGAAACAAATATTAGAAATCCTAATTAACTCCTAATAGGAAACAAATCAGGAAAATTAAAAAGAATAAATATCAATTAAACAGCCCGTAACCAGCCCACAGAGGTAGGCTCAAGCCCTTCCCGCCTTCGGTAAACCCACGGGGGCTTCTTCTCCTCTTCTTCCAAGCCTAGATTCTGCTTCATATCAATTCCATCCCTCTTCGAAAAAACCTTGTCCTCAAGGTTGAAATCCGGAATACGGCTCATATTTGTCCCCGGGGGCTGCCCCGTATCTTGAGGAAAGCTGCCACTTGATCTTTTCAGCTTGTTCATGAAATACCCCAAGTAATAATCATCGGACAGTCCGGAAACCTGACTGGCCAATTGAACAAAAAGGTTATTATATTCCTCTACGGTTCCCAACTCTTTGACCCCGAACAGCCGTTTGAATCGGCTTTCTTTGAACCGTGAATCAAATCGGGCCACCCGTGCTTGTGTAAATTTCTCCCAGGTCATGCTCGGTTTTTGTGCCTTCAACCAGGTCAACCCGTCCAAGGCAGCTCCTTCCATGGCTACCGTAGCTGCTGTCACTTTCCTCTCAGGTAGGGTTTGATTAATTTCAAACTTTTGCTCAGCCCTAGCTATCCACCTAATCGGTTCTTTTCTGTCGAACATGGGCAACAACGTTGGAGGAGTGCTGCGCGGAGGTCTGTCGTTGTGTGTTGCCGCTACGATGGCGGCACCGATGACTGTGTTTGATGGTGTCTCCGTCGTGATCGATGGCACAAGGGCCTTGGTCAGCGCCGCAAGGGATGCGGCGATCTCAGCCAGCCGCCTGCCGTTTGCTTCCAGGGTTTGCTTCATCTCTGACAAATGTTCACTGATAGATCTCGTCATTCTGGCGGGACGGGATCCGGTAGGTCGGACCAATTGATAAGAATAGGAAAATAAAATCAACGGGGTGAACCGTTGCCTAGATAATCAACGATAAACAAATACCGTTGCCCAGAGCCAAAAGGCTAAACCAACTTTTATTCCAAGATGAGCCAGAATAAATCCTAACAAGGGGTTTAAATACCCTTCTACTAATAATTAAACTAGGAAACAAAATCCTAGAAATCCTAATCAACTCTAACTAGGAAACAGAATAATAAAGTTCCTAATCAACTCCAAATAGGAAAGAAATAATAGAAATCCTAATTAACTCCTAATAGGAAACAAATATTAGAAATCCTAATTAACAACTAATAGGAAACAAATCAGGAAAATTAAAAAGAATAAATATCAATTAAACAGCCCGTAACCAGCCCATGGAGGTAGGCTCAAGCCCGTCCCGCCTTTGGTAAACCCACGGGGGCTTCTTCCCCTCTTCCTCCAAGCCCAGATTCTGCTTCATATCATACATATTGTTTTTTAGTTAATATTCGTAATGATGAATGTTATAGTGGATTTTAGTCTACTCTAGTACTGGTCCCATTACTCTGGGAAGTTGGAACTACTTTAAAGAGATGTGTTCTATTCATTAATAATATCATAATTAATTTTGGAGTTATTCTTTAGGGTCCTGTGAAGGTCGGGAACCGTCTTCTCTTATCTATACTGATTATCTATACTGATTTTAATCCTTTTCCTGTCATCTCCCAAACACATCTGTAACATACTAACATGATGATATCGATCAAAGTTGAAGATAGAGAACGAGAGAGCGGATGAACCAAGAGGAACTTCCAATCAATCCTTGTTATTTGGATCAGCTATTACCAAGGAGAAAAAGTGATTTTCAAATTAGATCTTAATATTGAATCAATCAGTGCTCAACCTAGTCAATATACATAACTAATTCTCCAAAAAGTAATTTTTTAAAGCAACTGAGGTTCCGCCATGCTCATACAACTCAATTAAAGAAAAAGATACTAAACCGGAATTAGGAAACTTGCATAAAGAAAATAAATAAAATTGCTGTCAATTCAACCACTTTTACTGGGCTTGTCCGCAGGACAATCTTCATTTGCCCAGCTCAGCTGATGGTCCCCTTCGCCGTCATGGGCACTTTTGACCCCAGAGTGCATCCATACCAGAATAAGGGTATGAGGCTTTTATTAATGAATTAACGGACTTAATCTGGACAATGACTTAATCACTCAACCACTAAGTCATGATTACTTATGAGTTAATTGAAAACACTACTTAATTACTTATTCATTACGACATGGTACAATACTCCTTCAAAGTAAGATGCCTATTATGACGCTTATCCTGCCAATTTTTCTAAATCTATTATGGAATAAATGCATGCTCATAAATGACATTACTCATGAAAAGATACTTACTAAATAACCTTCTATTGATTATTTTACAACTCACACTGTTTATTCAACATACAAAATACAGTCTAAATAGGTCCTGATAGAAAAATAAGTAGACAAACCCTATGTGTTGTTGTATACTTGGAATATAGACATTCAGTTTATTTCAGCTGCTATATATCCTTCCAGCATGTTTTGGGGTATACCTTACTGTGTTTTCTTCTTTCTAATTACGTATCTACATGCCTTAAGCAAAAAAGGTTTCTATCTCAGCGTACTGGTCTGCCTTTTATATTCCATGGTCATTGACAAGACTACTTTCTTGTTGATATGGACCATATGGTAAATCTGTACCTAAGGCTTTTTGGACTGGCTTAAGGTTGTATGGTTTGTTTGGTGGTCTGATGGACATCTGATATTGCTCTGAATGGTACCCTTGCAATGGTTATCATGACGTTGCCTCTCTGGTGTTTACAGCTACCGGGGAAGGTCTCCTTGCTTGAAGAGTGTGGGGCGTTGAATCATGAGTGATGTAGCTTACATGATCATGGCAATGTCCAAAATCAACATTTTCTCATAGATTCATTTTCCTTCAAGTTTTCTATTTTTGTTCTATGATATGTTTAGATATTACATATGTGACTTGTCTTCTATTGTTGCCTCGGTGGTTTATTGCTGGCAATGTTGCTCCCTTGGTGCCTTGATCATGATTCTCTCGGGAAAAACTTATATAACCACATGCATCTCTTTTCTCTTAAACATGGTTGGTTTCTTTTGTGCAGACTAAAATCAAATGCCTTGAGTTACAACTGAATGAAGCCCTTTCTTCTAGTGAGAGAACATTAATAAATGGCCAAGAATCAAGGCTTACAATGCAAACTAATTTCAGTCCAAGTGGCATCATCGATTCTACTGCTGCTACTAGAAGACTTGAAGAGGAACTTTTAAAACGTGATGCATTGATTGAGGTAGTTTCTCCATGCTCATTATTTCTGTGAAATATAAGATTGTATTCATTATACTTCATGAAGAAATGCTATACAAGTAGCTCTATTTATAGGTAAATAAGAGCATTAGGGTTTCTATACACAAATGGGTTAAACCCAATATAGGTAGGGTTTCCACACTCTCCCTCAAGCGGGAGCATATAAATCATATGCACCAAGCTTGTTACAAATATACTTTACTCTAGGACCTCTAAGTGTTGGGGTGTAGGCTTCGGCCCACTCAGATCTGGGAGCCAAATAAGCAGTGAGCAGCAGCCAGCCCTAGCTAGAAGTGCAGCCGGCCCTAGCTAGATGTGTAGCCACCCCTAGTTGGGCCTGTTTTTTGGTGGCAGTCAGCCCCAAAGTTTAATTAAAAGTTTACCCTAATTGTTTGCCTATATATTGCCTCTTGTACTTGTAAACTAGTGTACTATATTTCATCGCCTCAATAAGAAAGAAAACCCTAGTTGCCCCCGTGGATTAGGTCAGTAACATTTACTGGCTGAACCACGTTAAATTTTTGTGCCGTTCTCGTTTTTCTTTCTAGTTTTTCCAGATTTGTGTGTGTGAGCACTAGAGATCCTAACCTTAACAACTGGTATCAGAGACAGGTTTGTTTGGTTACACTCTAGCAGAACCCCTAATCGCCCCGTCCCAGAAGCTGCATTTTGCCGATCGTCGCGAAATTGTTGTTCAGTGATGGCAGAAGACGGTATGGTCAGAATAGACAAGTTTGAGGGCCATGATTTCGGTTTCCGGAAGATGCAAATCAAGGACTACCGATACTAGAAGAAGCTACATGAACCCTTGTCTGGTATTAAACCCTCAGAGATGCCTCTAGCCGAATGGGATTTGCTTGACCTTCAGGCATTGGGTGTTGTTAGGTTATCATTTGCAAAGAACGTTGCGTACAACATTTTCAATGAAAAAACTACTCACGGATTAGTCAAAGCATTGTCAAACATGTACGAAAAGCCTAGTGCATCGAATAAGTTTTTTCGAATTAGACAACTAGTGAATACAAAGATGAAGGAGCACCAGTTACAGATCATGTGAACGAATTCAATTCAATATTGACGAGGTTAGTGTCTGTTGACATTGCATTCGATGACGAGTTACAATTGCTGCTATTATTATCTTCGTTGCCCGAGAGTTGGTCAGGAACGGTCACAGCAGTCAGTAGTTCAATTGGAAATATTAAGCTTACTTTCAATGGGATTCGAGATCTCATTCTGGGAGAAGATATCAGTAGGAGAAATTCAGGTGAATCTTCCAGTTCTTTGTTAAGCACTGAAGGCAGGAAAACGGACAGAGGGCATAGTAAAGGGAGAGGTAGATCGGAATCCAGAAAATGTGGGCAGTCAAAGACCAAGAAGGATATCACGTGCTGGAATTGCAAAGAAACCGGTCACTTTAGAAATCAGTGTCCGGCGGGCAATAAGAAAGGTGGGCAGGATACAAACGTCGCTCCTAAAAGTTCAAATGATGAACTGATTTGCTGTGTTGACAGTCCTATCGAATCATGGATCATGGATTCAGGTGCTTCATTTCATGCATTACCTTGCAAGAAAATAATGAGGCCTGGTAGTTTCGGTAAAGTCCGACTTGCAGATGATGAAACCTTAAATATCACGGGCATGGGAAATGTGATTCTCAAAACTTCCCTTGTCACAAATTGGATGTTGAAAGATGTGAGGTATATTCCAGGACACAAAAGAATGTTAATTTCAATTGGACAGTTGGATGATCGAGGTTATCACGTTGTCTTTGGAAATGGCCAGTGGAAAGTGGTTAAGGGCAGTTTGGTTATCTCTCGTGGTGAAAGGGTGGGACTTTATACATGATGGAAGTACTGGCAGATGGAATAAATGTAGATGTGGATGATTCTAATATGTGGCATCACATACGTGGGCACATGACTGAGAAAGGAATGAAAATGATGGCTTCAAAGGGAAAGATTCCAAACCTGAAGAATGTGGCAGTTGGTTTATGTGAGCTGTGTGTCTAGTGTAAGCAGAAAATGGGCACCTTTTCTAAATCAGGAACAACAAAGAAGACTCGAAAGTTGGAGCTAGTTCACTCAGATGTCCATGGGCCCTTATACGTAGCTTCAATAGGCGGATCGAGATACTATGTCACCTTCATTGACGACTCCACCAGATTGGTATGGATTCACTTTTGGAAGAATAAAGCTGATGTATTAGTTACCTTTAAAAGGTGGAAAGTTGCTATTGAAAATGAAACTGGTTTAAAAGTTAAGTGTCTAAAATGGGGGTGAGTACAGCAGTAGAGATTTTGTTGATTATTGTGTCGAGAATAGAATCAGAATGCTGAAAATAGTTCCAGAAACACCCCAACAAAATGTTTTGGGCAAAGAGCATGAGGTTACATGCAGGTCTACCAAAAATGTTTTGGGCAGATTCTGTCACAATCAACTGTGGACCCTCAGTTCCCATAATGTTCAAGATTTCTGAAGAAGAATGGCGAGGTCGAGAAGTATCACTTACTCACTTGAAAGTATTTGGTTGTGTCGCCTATGTCAGGATCAAGGATGCAGACAGAGACAAGCTCGAGGCAAAGGCAGAGAAGTGCATCTTTATAGGCTACGATTTGGATGACATGGGTTATTGCTTCTGGGATGATCACAACAAAAAGGTTATTAGAAGCAAAGATGTGAGATTCAATGAGAATGCTATGTACAAAGACGATCTTGCAACAGCCCCCAGCCAAAGCAAGATGTTAGAAAGAAAGGATCAAGTGGTGTTTGATGAGATCTCAAAAGAAGACATTGTGAAACATGTCAGTGCTTCGGAAATTGGTCAGAGTTCAGGAAATAATGGGAGCTCAAATGAGAACGGGGGAAAACAGTGGGAACACAGAGGATATTGAGAGTTCAGATTCTGAGACTATTGACAGTGAAACTCCAACAACATGGGTTGGAAGATCCACCGGAGTTTCTACACGTCCTCAGTGATTCTCCCCCTCGGCAAATTATGTTCTATTGACTGAAAATAGTGAACCAGAATGCTATTCAGAAGCTTTGAAGATGAAAGAATCCATACAATGGGAGCAAGCTATGAATGAAGAAATGAGCTCACTTGAAAAGAACCGGACTTGGAAATTGGTCAGATTACCCACAGGAAAGAAAGCTTTGCAGAATATGGGTATTCAGGGTCAAAAACGAGTCTGACGGCATCAAGAGGTACAAAGCTCGATTGGTTGTTAAAGGTTTCCAACATAAGAAATAAGTGGATTATAATGAGATTTTCTCCCCAGTTGTGAAGATGACAACGATCAGGTCAGTCTTGAGCATTGTGGCTGCTGAAGACTTGCATCTAGAACAGCTGGATGTCAAGACAACTTTCTTACATGAAGATCTTGGTGAAGATATTTACATGATGCAACTAGAGGGTTTTGAGATAGCTCGTAAGGAAACTTGGTTTGCAAGTTGAAGAAAAGTCTGTGCGGACGGAAGCAAACACCAAGACAGTGGTACATGAAGTTTGACAATTTTATGAAAGGAGCGGATATTCAAAATGTCTTATGGATCATTGCTGCTACTTGGAGAATTTCAAATCCTCCTACATCATCTTGTTGTTATATGTTAATGATATGTTGGTTGCAGGATAAAACATGAGAGAATCAACAAGCTGAAGAAACAATTACCTCATGAATTGGAAATGAAGGATTTGGAAGCTGCAAAGCAGATCCTCGGTATGAGCATCACTAGAGATAGAGCAGAAGGTGGCCTGAAGTTATCTCAAGAAAAATACATTGGGAAAGTGCTAGAGATGTTCAATCTGAAAGATGCATAAGGAATCTTTTCCATTTCTTCCTTGTCTTTATCCATTTTAGGTGAGGCTTCTTAGTAAGTTATCTCAAGTCTCTTTTGGACAGGTTCTTGGCGTAAGAGCACTACTCGTTATGTTTTCACAATGGGAGGAACTGCAATTAATTGGATGTCTAGGCTACATAGTAGTGTTGCTCTCTCAACCATATAGTTAGAATATATGGCAATTGAAGAAGCAAGCAAAAAGCTTATATGGTTGAAGAATTTCCTATCAGAGTTGAGCTTTGAACAGAAAGATAGTGTTCTGTATTGTGACAACCAGAGTGCAAATCATCTCGCAAAAAATCCGGTGTTTCACAGTAGAACTAAGCACATCAAGATGACAAGATGAAGTATCATTTTATCAGGGTGTTGATAAATGTTGGAGAGTTGTTACTGACGAAGATTCTTGGTACAAAGAAACCTGCTGATATGTTTACTAAGGTGGTGACAACTGAGAGGCTGAGGCCATGGTTTTGAAAGGCGTTTAGCCTTTACGCATCTGAGGCGCAAAGGCGTTAAAGCGTTCGGTAATAGCCTGGAAGGCTTAAGCCTTATCTTCAGCTAACAAGGCTTACGCCTTTATTTTGCGGAGGCGTTGAAAAGGCCCTGGGGCGCAAGGCGCACATGAGGCGTTCGCCTCTTATTTACGCTAATTGGGCTTATTTTTTTAAATTATTGGGGGCCTCAATTTTATTTTCATCCTAAACTGCAAAGTACCTGGGTCGTTTATCACTTAGTCAGCCTTAGGTCCTCTCTTATCCGCTGGTTTTCCACGATATCAACAAACGACTTCAACAAGAGCTGTATGAGTCGAAGCAACTTCAGGAGGTGCTTCACTGCTTCGTTTAAGTTTTTCATTTCACTTTTTAGTTATTTAAAGTTCTGTTTTGAACAATTTGAAGTTTTTTCCTCCAGCTGTCCAGCCTTTTTCGTATTAAATTTCCTCCAGCTGTCCAGCCTTATTTTTATCTTTGTCAGTTTTGTCATGTAACTTTATTAATGTATTTATGATTATGAAGCCTACCTTTTAAAGTTTAAAGTTGTCATACGAAACTACTACAAATCATTTAGCTTAGAAATTTAGTTGTTTAATAGTACGTACTTTACTTAATAAAAAAAATACTCCTAGTACGTATTTTACTAGTTTACATAACCCAAGATTTATATTTTAATTAGAAATATTATAGTTAAGTTCATTAGTCAATACAGTTTGGTTATACTTTTATTTACTAAAGTCGATTATCAATTATGTGTTTTTATTTTTTATTTTTTTACTTAAACTCATGTAAACAAATCATTTTATGTTATTTTGACTTGAATATTTTTAGGTTCTTTTTACTTGTGATTTTGTTTAGTTGCGCTATTATTATGAATAATATGTACTATCTGGTATGTTTTAGGCTAGCAGGAACACTTAATTTTGAGGCTTACGCCTCGTTACGCCTCGAGGCTTACGCCTCGGGAGGCTATCACCGAACGTCTCGAGTCCCGTTTTTGCCTTTCAAAACCTTGATTGAGGCTTTGCATGGCTTCAAATGGCCTTCAAGAATAATGTTGAGAAGGCAGGAGCAACTAAGTGGATCTTGAGAACGGATGGCGTTTACAGAAGTACAAAAGAGTGAAATGGAGTGCAGCTGATCATGTTTCGAAGCCTCCAAGTGGGAGATTGTTGGGGTGTAGGCTTCGACCCACTCAGATTTGGGAGCCAAATAAGCAGTGCGCAACAGCTGACCCTAGCTAGAAGTGCAGCCGGCCCTATCTAGATGTGCAGCCAGCCTTAGTTGGGCCTATTTTTTGTGGCAGTCAGGCCCAAAGTTTAAATAAAAGTTTACCCTAATTTTTTGCCTATATGTATTGTGTCTTGTACTTGTAAACTACTGTACTGTATTTCATCACCTCAATAAAAAAGAAAATCCTAGTTGCCCTCGTGGATTAGGTCGGTGACATTTACATTTACTGGTTGAACCACGTTAAATTCTTGTTCCGTTCTTCTCATTTTTCTTTTTAGTTTTTCGAGATTTGTGTGTGTGAGCGCTAGAGATCCTAACCTTAACACTAAGAGTATTAGTTAAAACATCTGCAAATTGATCTGTTGTGTTGACATATTTTGTGAAAATATGTCCAACTGCGATCTTTTCTTGAATTAAGTGGCAACTTCAATGTGTTTGGTTCTCTCATGATATACCAGAGTGATGCAATGTGCATTGCGGCTTGATTGTCACACAATAATTGAACTAGTTTTGTGCTTCCGTATTTTAGCTCTTAGAGGAGATGCTTCAGCCACAAGATTTTGCATGTAGCAAGGGCCATCACACGGTATTCTGCTTCAGCACTGGATCTGGCAACCACATCTTGTTTCTTACTCCTCCAAGAAATTAGATATCCACCAATCAAGATGCAATGTCCCGAAGTAGAACGTCTATCCATCGGACATTCTGCCCCATCTGCATCACAGTATCCCACAATATCACAGTGACCTCGGTCTTCGAGTAGCAACCCTTGCCCTGGTGTTTTCATGATGTATCTCAAGACTCGAATAACTGCATCCCAATGTCCATTACATGGCTTATCAAGAAATTGACTAAGAACACCAACTGCAAATGAAATATCTGGTCTTGTGATGGTAAGGTAGTTTAGTTTGCCAATGAGTCTTCTACATTTTCCTTTATTGGGCAAAGGCTTTCTTTGTTCTGACAAGAGTTTGATGTATCCACTAGTCTATACTCTAGCATACCTGTTTCCTCAAGAATGTCCAAGGCATACTTTCTTTGTGAGAAGGCAATTCGTTTTGAGACTGAAACCTCAATGCCAAGGAAGTACCTTAGCTTTCCTAAGTCTTTTGTTTGGAATTTGCTATAAAAGTATTGCTCAAGGAGTGCAATTCCTTGTTCATCACTACATGTAATGACAATATCATCAACATACACAACAAGATAAATACATTTATCGCCTACAGAATGCCTATAAAATATAGAATGATCGACTTCACATCGAATCATTCCAAATTAACAAATAACAACACTAAACCTCCCAAACCATGCACGTGGAGATTGTTTCAAGCCATATAATGAACGACGTAATTTGCACACCAAACCTGATCCCCTGAGCAACAAAGCTAGGAGGTTGCTCCATATAAAGCTCCTCGTGTAGATCACCTTGAAGAAATGCAGTTTTAATATCCAACTAAAGTCCGGTGTCGATGTCAGACAAGTAGAAAGGAGTAGATCTGCAAAAAGCTTACAGTTGCAGGTGCGAACTTCAACGGCGTGTGGAGGCACGTGGATGAGGCAGCGGCAGCGGTTTTCCAGGCGGTAAGTTGCGATGAGCATGGGTAGGCTTAAATCACCACCGGAAGCACGACATATGCGACCACTATTCATGCTGGACTTTCTAGACGGATTTTCTGCCGGGACTTTCTGACTGACAGAAATATTATAACACCTAACTAGTTATATTTGCCATATTGGCTCTGATACCATGTGAAATATAAGATTGTATTCATTATACTTCATGAAGAAATGCTATACATGTAGCTCTATTTATAGGTATATTAGCGCATTAAGTCTATACACAAATGGGCTAAGACTAATACAACTAGGGTTTCCACAATTTCTACAGAGGCTAGGTTAGTAATAAAAAGCCATATATGGAGGTAAAGTAGCTTTTAGTGTCGAAATGAACAACTAAACACTAACCCCCAAGCATGAGAAGAAACATCATATGCTTAAGTTAATGTTATCAAGCAATCTTTTTCCCTAGCATGTTGAGGATATACTGTCATTAATTTTAAATTTACATGTTCCATTTCCAGAGGTTGCATGAAGAAAATGAGAAGCTATTTGACAAGTTAACAGAAAAAGCCTCACTAGCCGGATCACCTCAGGTTATCAGTGCGATATATCTTCCCCTCTATTCAAGTTCCTACTTATCAAGTGTATAATTTGTTTCTTCTTTTCCCTGCTATGCTGTCTACATATAGAAACACTTGTCGGCTCATTACTCATATGTATAATTAAGTCGTTCTTGCATTTTTGTTTATGATTCACAAGATTTCATGAATAATCTGAGGTGAACCTGTTACGAGGAAGTACATGATTTTAGTGCAATTAGTTGGCATGGTTTTTCATTAGTAGTGAGGGCTAACCTTAAACTTTGTTCTGACCCTCAAGTTTCATGCATTTGCTGGTCATCTTTTGACCTTGTAGGTAACCCTGTTTGAGTTGTGCTTAGTTTAATGCCCTATATCGTAATCTGACTTATATACTTTTTGCAATCTCACTAGGGTGTTTTTTGGTTCAGGTGTCAAGTTCATCACCTAAAAGAGCAACTATAGAAAACCGAGACGTGGGAAGGTATATGGTTGTTAGTCACTTAGTCACACTTCAAGCGGTTGTATAGTTTACTTCAAACATCTTAATTTTCTGCAACATTGGTCATTTCTCAATGCTCTGCGCATTTTTGTCTTGCTGTGCTTGACAGAAATGTCACAAATGATAATAACGACAAAGGACATCCTTTGGGTGGGGTTCCTTTTCCGTCAGATAAGCCTGAAGAATCTGTTGCTTTGGTCAAACCGTGTGCTGAAAGTATAAAGAGAACCCCAGCTGGAGAATATCTAACTTCTGCCTTAAATGATTTCGATCCTGCACAATATGACGGCAGCCTTGCTGCCATATCTGACGGAGCAAATAAGCTTTTAATGCTGGTATTATTAATGTACACTCTGTTGATAATAATTATGACTAATGTTTGTTCCTGAATTCGTCCCATATAACATTCTTAGCTTTTTCTGATTTATTCTTAATATCATCTTTGGGCTCTCTATATTTGTCCGATTAACAAAAAAGCACATTTCATGGCATTCTTGGTTTCTTATAATTCAGATGTCTTGTTTTGGATCTTTTAAATCTTGATTGAGATATCATTTATCAAATAAATTTCTTCAACAATCTAACCATAAATATTGCAGGTTCTGGCTGCTGTCATTAAAGCAGGCGCGTCTAGAGAGCATGAGATACTTGCTGAAATTCGGGATGCTGTTTTTTCTTTCATTCGTAAAATGGAACCAAAGAGAGTAATGGATACCATGCTTGTTTCCCGTGTTAGGATATTGTATATTAGATCTCTGCTTTCTAGGTCACCAGAGCTCCAATCTATCAAGGTAGTAGAACACTGATATACTTTTATAATGCTTTGCATGTGTGTGTTTCTCTATTACTGATTTTGATAAGTCTGTTTTCTCCAGGTGTCCCCAGTTGAGTGCTTTTTAGAGAAAGCTAATACTGGTCGAAGTAGAAGCTCTAGCCGTGGTAGTAGCCCTGTAAGGTCTCCTGTGCGTTACAATTCTCTACTAGATGAACATATACAGGGATTTAAAGTAAATTTAAAGCCAGAAAAGAAATCAAAGATATCATCTGTGGTTCTCAGGATACGTGGTATTGATCAGGTAACTCGTGCTTATTAATTGTTGTTTCTTGTTCACTTTCTTTTGTGTGCTTCGGTTTTTATGAATGTTCAAGGGTAAATTTCCCCAAGAGCTTTTGCCTCTGTGATAGATACACTTTTGGTACCTCTCCTTAAAATTTTCCGTATTAAGTCCTTTGACTTTAATAAAAGTGACACTTTTAGCCCTTCCGTTATGATTTTGCTACAATAACTGGAAGATTAAGAATGTCACTAATAATTGGAAATATAGTAGTCACGGCGCACGGCGACGCGCATGGCGCAGTGGTAATTTCATGCGGCGATGGCAATGGCGCAAAAAGCGATGGCGATGACACTAATATGGCAACGTTATCTGTAGACCCTGCGCAATAACCAATTAACCATGCGCAATAACCAATTAACCATGAACAGTGGCATTCACTCACCGAAATGCCAATGGCGAGAAATGGCGATCGCCATTTGCGCCATCTACTACTATGATTAGTGTTAAAGTATTTGACCCACACCGGAAAGCTATAAAACAATTAAACACTATATAAGGCTTTGGGATACTCCTATCGGGTTGACCTTTTAGGATGGAATTCCAAGTCTTAACATGGTATCCGAGCCAATTCCGGTTGTGGTTTGACTGCTTGTTTAGCATCCATGATTACGGGTAGCTTGTTAAGGGTCTGTTTGGCCCATTTATACACCCCGATATTGTCCAGTCCGGTTCGGGCTGAGGGGGCGTGTTAAAGTATTTGTCTCACACCGGAAAGCTATAAAACAATTAAACACTATATAAGGCCATGGGGTACTCCTCCTATCAGGTTGACCTTTTAGGATGGAACCCTGAATCTTAACATGGTATCAAATCCAATTCCGGTTGTGGTTTGAGTGCTTGTTTAACACCCATGATTACGGGTAGCTTGTTACGGGTCTGTTTGACCTATTTATACACCCTGGTATTGTCGAGCTCGGTAGGTTGGAACCCCGAGTCTTAACAATTAGAATTGAAGGACTAAAAGTGTCAATTTTGTAATAGTTGCGATATAATATGTGGGGAAATTCAAATCTCGAGGACCAAAAGTGTCTCACAATATTCGAAGGACTAAAAATGGAAGAAATTAAAATCGAGTATCAAAAGGCAAAAATGTTAGTGACACAATAGTCAGAGGACAAAATGTGGAAAAAACTAATTTCCTTAATTATTAATATCTCTCTCTTCCATTAAGTTTGGGATATTGAATTTGTAAAAGAATGATTGCGAGTCATAAAAAAAGGTTGGTATGAGACAAACAGTTTGGGACATCCTAAAAGAAGAGATGAGACAAACAAAATGGGAGGGAGGGAGGAACTGCTAAAACTAATAACTCAACAGAAATATTGGGGCCAAAGTACCCTTGCATATAAAGAATAAAGAGGAGAAAGCTTTGAATATTTATCTGCATACTTCACAAATTTACTTGAGCTCTTATTTTTACAAGAACTAAGGTATGAAAACATGAAACCACTGCAACTGATGTGTGACAATCAAGCTGCAATGCACATAATATCTAATATGAGAGAACAAAATATATTGAGTCTGATTGTCACTTCCTCCGAGAAAAGTGTTTAAATGGACAAATTATTACAAGTTATGTGAGCAGGAGAAGTATTCTTTTCGAGGTCCTAGAATAGAATGCATTTGTAACAAGCTTGGTGCATATAGGTTATATGTTTCAGCTTGAGGGGAAGTGTTGAAACCCTAACCCTAGTTGCATTGCGCTCAGCCTACTTCGTGTAGTTAGCCCTAGTTGTAGCTACAAGTATGGATATTCTTGTAATCCTTTAAATCATCATAAAAAATGAAGTCGTATTTCACACTCACTATGATTTGTTGCCTTTCTTCATTGCCCATAAAAAAGAAGAAAAAGAAGAAGCTGGAGGAGGAGGGAATTCAAGCGCATAGATGTAAGGCATTTCCCTCACGTGCCACCCTCTGCGGCTCTGTTCATATATCCTTCAGTTCACTTCCCATCAGTTCCCATAAAAAAGAATGGAGAATGTAACTTAGTGCTTCTTGTCATTAGAACTGAAAAAGGGAATACTAGAATGAAGAACTTAAAGCACTTCCCAAACTCATCATGCTTTCTAATGAGTAATGAGAAATAGGCCAGTCGGTGACAGCTGAAGTGCTGATCTGCTTTACTTTAGTAGTGGTCCGTTTTGCTTCCTAGTGCAAGAAGGTAGAACTCCTTTTCATTCGTAATGAAGACATGGAAGTAGTGGAAGGGAGCAATTACTGTCCATCCATTGAATCATTGAAAGTGAGAAATATTTTAGTGGTGTTGCCCAATGGCCATGGAGTAGGTCTGTAATCAGATCATAATTTCATCATGGAAGACAACAAGAGAGAAGCACAATGAATTGTGGGGAGAGATAGGGCATCTTTCTTGCACCATTGATGGATTGAGGAAGAAACCTCCAAAGATGAGATGGTATGTCTGAATGGTCCCTTAAGAGATGAGCATGGATGGAAACAGAATATAAATACTGCGATAAGGGTTATAATTGATATGTAAGGGATTATTAGTCAGCAAAAATAATGAACTACTAATTATTGGTCTTCTTTATTTACTATCAAATAAGCATTATTTTTTAGAACAAAAAAGATGAAGAGCATTTTAGGTGAAGTGGTATGTTTTAGTCATATTTGTGGCAATAATCTCTTATTTAAGTGTCTTCTCTTCGATGTATTCAGTAGACCCGCTTCTAATGGAAGAAGTTTCTCATTTCTTTTGCCTTGCGGTAATATGGTATTTAAGCTTTTACAAATTAGAGTGTGCCCTACACACACTCTATATACATGCTGATTTGTATGGTTTCTTCACCTATGCTTAAACTCTTCTAAGTATGGATATGCGTTTGTATGTGAGTATGCCAAATGACTCACACCAAAAACATATGCGTATAGGACACATGGAGGCAGCATGTTACTGGGGGAAAGCTCAGAGAGATAACTGAGGAAGCCAAAAGCTTTGCAGTTGGAAACAAGGCTCTTGCTGCTCTTTTTGTTCATACTCCTGCGGGAGAGCTGCAGCGTCAAATCAGAAATTGGCTTACAGAGAACTTTGATTTTCTTTCTGTTAGTGATGACACAGTTGGTGGAGCTACCGGTCAGCTAGAACTTCTTTCTACTGCAATAATGGATGGCTGGATGGCTGGACTTGGTGCTGCAATGCTGCCTGATACTGATGCCCTGGGTCAGCTTTTGTCCGAATATGTAAAGAGAGTTTTTAGTTCTCAGCTTCAGCACTTAAAGGTACTTTCAGATATTTAATTTTTGTACTTAAGAATAAGACATGTCATCCAATACCAAGCACCCTTGTACAGAATTTTTTGTTATTTCTGTATGTTATTCCATATAGTAAGTTGCTCCAATGATGCTGTTGCGCCTTTGTCATAAATCCTACTTGTCTATTGACAACATAGATACTCACTCTAGTATATGTTTTCTGATATGCGTCCATTTGACCTTTTCCCCTTCTGTGATATTAACTTCTGTTTTTGCTTCCATAACAGGACATAGCAGGCACCCTGTCAACAGAGGTTACAGTAGACTCTGTGCAAGTGGCTAAGCTGCATTCAGCTTTAGAATCGGTTCATCACAAGCGAACGAAGGTAAGAATTTGTGCTCAGATGGTGAATGGTGTTTGGCGTTCGCTTCTCCTTGAGTACTAATTCCGAAGGGGCATACATAACCAAACATGCAATCTTTAAGTCGAAGAAGTCAAGATTGGACTCTTGAGTCAGTCATTATAATAGGAATGCCCAGGAATGACATTTGGTGCCTATTTGGTGTAACATACTCACACCATGTATTTGTTTGTCAGCCTTTTCTGATTCAAACTACCAACTTATATGACTGCATTGGCTGAACGAACATCATCATCATTACCCCAGTGCCGCAAAGGCTCCCACCTACGGTGGGGTAAGGGGGGGTCGGATGTACGCAGCCTTACCCCTGTACTAAAGCACAGAGAGGTTGTTGCCAGATGACCCATGGTGAAAATTACGTCGATCGTTGCTTGGACTGACTGCTACTTCATAACAAAGAAGTGAATACAGTTTAGTGAGCCACTTTGCTTTATTCCATCATATTCCCAAGCCAAAAAATAGTGAATCTTTGGCTCCATTGGCTAACGAACATAGAATAAAATTAATACTACAACAACAACATCGAAACCTTAGTCCCAAATTAATTTGGGGTCAGCTAACATGAACCAATATATGAATACAGAACTTTGGTAAATAGATAAAAATATAAGATAGGATAAAGATAAGATAAAAAGGAAGATAAGAAAGAGAAAAAATAAAAAAGATAAAATGAGATCAATCCACCACACATAGAAAGAGAGTCATCAATAAAGTTGACAACACAATTAAGACGACCTGTAAGTTGACTGACAGAAACCAAGTTGAAAGGACAACCAGGGATCAAAATAATAGAATTAAGAAATAAAGAAGGATGAAGTGCGGCCTGTCCAACACCAATGGCTTTAACTTTTGAACCATTAGCAAGGGTGACATGGTGCACTGATTTAGGTTGAGATAACCTTGAGAAAAGAGAAGGATTATCAGCAATGTGGTCAGAGGCACCTGAATCTATGATCTAAGATCTGACATGTGATGATTGAGAATGACATGCTATAGAATTATCCATAAAGTTGACTGCTGCTGCAGAATGGTGAGCTGCCTTAAGTTGGAGATACTCTTTGTATTCATCATAGAACATTTTGGGTGTTTTTAGCTGCTGCCCCAAGTTTCACTAGTTCGGAGTGCATTACATTAGCATATTTGTCTGGCCAACCAATAATTTCCTAACATTTATCATTGGTATGACCCATGTGCTAGGTCGATCACCAGTGCCACACCCTAATCGACCACGACCGCCATAGCTAGAACGAGATACAAGAGCAGAGAACTCTGAATCAGCGTGAGGACCAACATTTTCAATTCCACTTGGTAGAGTAACTCAGAACAGTCTACCAATAAGGTCTTCAGCAGTGGGAATGTTTGGATTTGTTAGGATTTGGTTCCTCACTGAATCAAAATCCCTATGAAGTCCATGGAGAGAACAAACACCATACACATTTGATCAATTTTATCAAACACTTTAGAAAGATCAACTTCGCTTAACATCACCTTAACCTATTCGACAATGGATTGTGCCTTATTCACATATGATGGAAGGTCATGGTCAGACATTTGGAGTGTTGCAAGGCTATGAACAGCGTCATAAATCCGTTGGACATCATTCGCGAACATACTTCTAACTTTCTTCCAAATGTGATAACACGACTTGTCTATGCAGAAGTGGATCAATAGTTTGGGATCAATGGACTGCCACAGAATAACAACCAACTGATGATCTGCTCGAGTCCATTTTTCTCTTTTGGTCAAATGTTCAGACAAACCTTGGCCTAAGAACCACATTTCAACAGAACTTGCCAATCCATGTAGTTTCTGCCGTTAAGTTTTCCAGAAGTTATTTGGAGATTCTAAGAGAAGACAAAGGATTAAAGGACACAAACTCCTGGAAGAGTCGGGGGTCGTGCTGCTTGCAGGAGACATGACGTACAGTGACTTGGGCACAATCTGGAATAACTAGGACTTCTATTCCTAGGCTAGCAGACCAGTGTCGATGAAGATTGGCTGCAGGGACGACTAGGGCAAGTGAGGATCAGGCTCTGATACCAACTTGAATTTCCTGATTTGAATGAATTTGCTTGAGAGAAACTACTCTGAGCTTATCTTTATTTATAAGGTTCGAAATTACAAGGAAAGAATCATATGTACATCAATCAATTGCTAACTTCTGATTGGATACAATCTGTACAATAAATGCTAAATCAGGAAAGAAATCACTTAGAATCATATCAAATCTCAACACATGTCATGTGATGTGACCAAGTTTGTTGTTGCCCGTCATGCCCCTATCACAACTCCCCCTCTTTTATCCTGGCCTGGGACACACATCATACTAAAAAATGGATGAAATAAGTTGAATTGACTCAATGATATGATCTGTGATTACAGTGTTTATCAATGTGTGTATGATTTCAGTGTACTAAAAGATGGCCCATTTGGGCATAGGCTGGACGAGTTTGAATTAACATTCCATATGAGCTGTAGATGAATTGTCTTACTACTTGAATTGCACCTTGTTGCTAGGTCCCGCCTAATATACAGTCAGTTTGATTTTTTGAGAAGTCTCTAGGACCCAAACAATCACATTTTGTAATATATTCATAATAAATGTCTTGTTGTTTGGGTTCTATATCAGGTGGTGATGGATTGCTATTTCAACTATTGGGATTTTAACTATCTCGAGAGTATAGAGTTAAAAAGTTTAGCTGTTTCAGAGATAATGTGTATAATAATTTTATATTTTCTAGGCTGTGGTTATTCATCACCTAAGCCCCTAGTGCCTTTTAAGAACATTGTATTGTGTAAACATATCATTATCCTGGTGTCAATACTCAATACAATGAAGTGGTAGGTATAATAAGTTGGTAAGACTCTAAGAGTACTCTTCTTCATAGCGATTGAAGAGCTATGAAGTGATTGAAGAGCTATAACATATAACTATATGCTTTTAATTAGATTTTACAGCAAATGAGAAGGGATGTGGCATTGTTTACATTAGATTCTCCAGTTCGAAGTCCTTCGACAGGAGCCGAAGATGCTCGACTTGCATCACTGGTTTCCCTTGATGGCATATTGAGACAAGTCAAGGTTTGCTCAGTTTTTTATAATTGTTGGCATCATTGTCTTTACTACTACTGCTAATAAAGTGGGGCTTTGGATGACAAAGAAATGAATACTCTGCGTTTCAATGTGGCAGGATATTTCAAGGCAATCGCGTGTTAGCAGCCTTGGTAGAAGTAGGAAGAAAGAAATGATTGCATCTCTAGATGAGCTTACAGAACATATGCCTTCCTTACTTGACATTGATCATCCATGTGCTCAAAAGCACATTGAAGATGCACGACGTATGTTGGAGGTATGTGCCAAAGCTACTAAGTAGTCGCGCCTTGATTTCTCTTGATATGATTTCACCATAATTTTAACAACATTGCTAAGGTTTGATATTGTTTTTTTTTTCTAAAACAAAAAATCATTTAACTAGGGACAGCCTGGCTCTGGCTTTGGGGGGTGGGGTGGTGTCGACTCTGGGATCTGATGTACTTGCATGTCCAGTTAGGGCATGTAGGTGGTACTTTTTCAAAATATTTGCACTTACCCTACAGGCACCTTGGTAGGACTGTGTTCATCATAGGTTACTGATATTACATGATCAATACATGGTGCTCAACATCTTCAGCCTTCAGTTTTCTGCTTTTGAAGTATTTATTCTTATAAATTGCTGCAGTCAATTCCTGAAGAGGATGACATTGTAAATGCTTCTTCGGAAAGGAGTGCAGATGATGCTGTGGAAGAAACTGAGGTGGCACAGTGGAACGTTCTTCAGTTTAACACAGGTTTAGCATCACCCCCTTTTATCATTAAATGTGGAGCTAACTCGAGTTCTGAATTGGTGATAAAAGCGGATGCCCGAGTTCAAGAACCAAAAGGAAGTGAGATTATGAGAGTTGTTCCCAGACCAACTGTGCTTGAGAATATGAGCCTGGAGGAGATGAAACAGTTATTCACAGTGCTTCCTGAGTCCCTAAGCCACCTAGCTCTTGCTAGGACAGCAGATGGAACTAGAGCTAGGTACTCCAGGTTATACAGGACGCTTGCCATGAAGGTTCCAGCATTGAGGGACCTCATAAGTGAACTAGAGAAGGGTGGAGTGCTGAAGGACGTGAGAAGTTAGAACCAGACAAGGGGGTGTATTTGAATATAAATTCCCAGGTTGGGCCTTCTCCACTTGTGTCATGATTCCACATATTTTTAACCAATGTACACCAGTTTAGGTATGTATGCTGAGCATGTATATAATACTGCCTTCGTAAAATTCAATTGGTATAATATCTTCCTAACATTTACCCTCGCCATTTGTATATATTCATGTTATGTTATTAGGGTTGGACTATGTTAATAGAAGTATTGTGGAATTGTTCATCTGCCCGGAGTGGCAAGATTTTATTGGTGTACGTTGTGAATGGTGATCATTATCTCTCTCTCTAAACTACTTTTTAATTGTTTGTGAAATGTTATTGCCCATGATATTTTTGTATCTCTGTTTATCATTTAGGCTTGTAAAAACGTTTTGAAATTTCAAAAGGAAAGCACTGAAAATATTAAGTCCTGAAAAATATTACGGAGTACTACGTAATAGAAGTATATGATAGTAAATTTTCAAGACGACAATAGTGTATTTCTATTTTGGAAAAGATGCAATAGTACTTCTAATTTGGAACTGTTTTTATACCCATTTCAGGAATTATCCCAAACGACAACAACAAACACGTATCATGAATTCATGTTGCACAATCTTAAGTATAGCAGTAAAACATGTCATAATTGTACTTAAATAAATATTCAAATTTATTTTGGTGCTTTTTAGTTTTTCTTTTTACCTATTATTCGTCTATTTACTTTTAGGGGGTGTATTGTATTAAGAATTTGTGACAAAATTTTAAAAGTCTACGAATTTTAAAAATTTAGGGGTATTCAATGTGGACTTTTAAAAGTCTACAAAAGTAGTGTATTCAATGTAAACTTTTAAAAGTCTATAAAAGTCTTGGCGTATTCAAAGCTCCTTTCATTCTTATTGGGAAAATCTGTCGAATATGTCCTACTATAGCAAAAACGTCAATTAGGTCCTCGTACTTTAAAATCAATCAATTGAATCCTTAAAGTTTTAATAAACACCCAATTGAGCTACTTCGGCGGTAAACAACCGGTTTTCCGGTTGAACATTGACCTGAACTTCTGTGAATTTTTTTAATGTTTTTTATTTATTTTTATATTGTTCTCTTTCTCTTTCCTTGTCACTTTTTTTCCCTTTCTTTCGTCGTTGGCCTGTTCGACACTTCGACTGTTAACCTTCTACCTAGCACCGGTCCTCTGTACTCAGCCACTTCTGCCTGGAGACGTGCGAACTTATTTGATGGTCTTTGATTCTCCTCTCAAGTGTGGATGAATCGGTCAAGTCAAGAAAAATGTACGTAGCTACAAACCGGACTGGTTGGAATAGACCAGCAAGCTTCTTCACCGCCGCTTGCCGGACCTCGATCTCCCCCACCATCACCTCCCCTTCTTTGCCCTTTTCATCTTGTGAGACAACCCTCGGAGGAATCTTCCCGGACTTCACAGATCTACCGGCGGTGAGAATTCCGGCATGCTTCTCCTTCGCCCATCATCTGTCAACAGCGTTGCGCTAGAGGCATCATCTCTTTTTCTTCTTGCTCAATCTCCTCCTTACTGCTACATGTCGTCTTCTTCGCAGAAGCAAAAATGGTGAGCTCCACAAATGAAAATATGGTGGGAGAAGAACAAAGAGACGGGTTGAGAAAGCTGCGGGAAGAGAAAAGAAAAAAGAAAAAGTAAAAGTAAAGACAGAATAGAATGTAAAAAATTAGAAGACATTAAAAAAACACATAGGCAGTCCACATAAGCATTGAACCGGGAAACCGGTTGTTTACAGCCTAAATAACTCAATTGGGTTTTTATTAAAAGTTTAAGGACTCAAATGATTGATTTTTATCCCAAAAGACAACAACAAACATGTATCATGAATTCATCTTGCACAATCTTAAGTATAGCAGTAAAACATGTCATAATTGTACTTAAATAAATATTCAAATTTATTTTGGTGGGTTGTCCTACTTGTGCATGAGCAACTAGTGAAGTTTGGTGCTTTTTAGTTTTTCTTTTTCCCTATTATTTGTCTATTTACTTTTAGGGGTGTATTGTTTTAAGAATTTGTGGCAAAATTTTAAAAGTTCATGGATTTTAAAAGTTTAGGGGTATTCAATGTGGACTTTTAAAAGTCTACAAAAGTCTAGGTGTATTCAATGTAGATTTTTAAAAGTCTATAAAAGTTTAGGCGTATTCAAAATTCCGTTCATTCTTATTGACTTCTAAAATCATGGATTCTCGTGGATTTTTAACTCATTTTTAGTACATAAATTCTCTGCAATTGTCTCTTCTCTCGACTAAAGATTTCCGTGGACTTTTCTTATATCGATTCTTCATCCCGTCCTACCCCCTCCCCTAGTGATGAACCCGGGCCGGGCCAGGGCCCGGTCGGGCCTCGGGTCTGGTAAAGGTAGGCCCGGGACCGGCCCGGGCAATGGCCGGTTCCGGTTCGGGCCGGGCCACCTGGGCGGGTCACAGGTCGGGCCACCCGCCGGGCCGGGCCGGGCCGGGCCAATATTTTTTTTTAAATTAATTATATATTATACAAATTCCTATTAAAAACAAAGTTCAAGTGCATTTATTTGAAATAGGAACTACATTTGAGAATTGAGAAAAAAATAACAATACGAAATACATTTTCTAATGAATATCAATTGGAATTCCCGCCACCGTTGGTTGTTGTTTTCTCTTTGTCACAGGACTTCATATGTTTTATTGGCATCCCGTATCCGTGTGAACGCCCCAAGCAACACTCTTTCTTGCACCACCTGCAAGTTGCCCACCACAGTCCGGTCTTCGGGTCCTTCCACTTGTCAAAATTGTTTTGCATAAGGGAAGATGTACTTTCCATATTTAAAACGGTATATGTATAAGTAGGATTGTAGGAATGTAGGATAATAAGAGAAGATGAAGATGGAGAAGAGTTGGAGAAGAGTTAAAGAAGAGGTGTAGAAAAATGTTAGAAAATAGATGTATTTATAGATGTTTTTGAACCTCTCCCCACACCACCACCCCCGGGACCCCCCTGCCCCCCACCCATAGCCCCAACGGCTATATAGCCGTTTGGGAGGTTTTATTTCAATTTTTTTTAAAGTTATACATATTGTAAAATAAATTAATTAATTTAATGAATTAAGTAAAACTAACACTATTTGTACTTAGAAAAGTGGTTTGATTTATAATTTACAAATGTTACAAAATAGGTGTATAAGTATTTAAACAAATTACATATTGTAAATGTATTTTTAATTTAAAAACCGGCTTTATATTTTTGAAAAATAATTTTAAGTCGTTAGTTTGTGTAATTTGAGAAGTGCTACATATGAAAAAGTGAACGCATATTTATTTGAAATATGAAGTACAAGTTTACAAATTAATTTGAAGTACAACTACAAATTTACAATTTTGAAATATGAAGTACAAGTTTAAAATTTTGAAATATGAAGTACAAGTATAAATAAATTTGACAAGTGCTACAAAATACATTTTATAATAAATTCTAAAATACTAATCAATCGGAATCTCCGGCATAGGTAGAGCCACTATCGGTTGTTGAGTCATCCATAAAATCTTGGGAGGGGGTGATGCTCATTTCTTGAGTTCTACGTGCGGTCTTCAACCAATCGTGGTAGCATATAAGCGTCTCAAGAGACTCCGCACTCAATCTCGATCTAGATGCCGTTAGGACGTTGCCGGCCGAACTAAATTCTTGTTCCACAGCAACTGTTGAAATCGGCATTGATAGTACTTGCTTAGTCATCCGTGCTAAATTCGGGAACGTTCTTTCTTTTGACTTCCACCAGTTTAGAATGTCAAAGTCATCATTTTCTTCAAAATCAACTTCATATGTTAAATACAAAGTAATCTCATTCAATGCACTTTGTTCAGTGACGTGAGTTGTTTTTGTTTTTTTCATAAGATTGCCAAATGCAGATTTAAAAATCAATTTTCCTTTAGATGAAGATGTTCGTGACGGGGGAGGGGGAGCGTTGCTATATTGTGCACGAAACTCATTAAATAAGGCATAAAATAAAGCACTAACCTCGTTGTATTCCGTTTTCGGATCTATGGGGTTATCGTCATACATTGAAAATTCACCAAAAAACGCAAGATAATAGAAGTTGAAACAATATTCCAAATTAGCAAGTCTATAACGAGGATCGAGAATAAATGCAATACCATAAATATGGGGAATATGCGCATAATATTTTAAAAACTTTTCCTTCATATAATCACAAAAATAATGAACGAAAACGGCATTCTCAAATTCTTTAAATGCACCGGCAATATTAATAGCTTCACGAATAAATTGGTTTGCGGTAGGTTTATAAACATGGCTAAAAGTTTCAGTAGCATTAAAAAAAATCAAAACATTACAAATTTTTTCGCAAGTGTCGATCTCAGCCGCGTTTATAATATAGTTATCATGTTCTTTTAAAAAAGTAGGAAAATGTTCTTTATATCTAAGAACGACTTTAAGTAATTTATAAGTACTATTCCAACGAATACTCAAATCTTTAGGAAAAGCAACATATCTCACACCTCTTTCAGTCAAATAAGTTTGCCATTTTAATCTAAGTTGACCATCACCCCAAATACGTCTAATCCCCCCCTTGATTACCTCCATGGAATCTCCTAACGCTTTTAAACCGTCTTGCACACATAAATTTATAACATGGCATGCACAGCGTTGATGAAAAAATCTACCCATCAAAGTATTGGCACCACACAACTCACGCAATCTAGGTATAGCAGCAGTATTATTAGTAGCATTATCGAAACCAATAGCAAACACTTTATCAATCAAATTATACTCAATTAAAATACACTCAATCAAAATATAAAAATGTTCAGCGATGTGACGATCATTAAATTCACGAAAAGCAAGAACACGTTTATGCATATTCCAATTCTCATCAATATAATGTGCAGTCAGACCCAAATAATATAAATGATGAAAATCATCCTCCCATATGTCAGAACAAATAGTAACACGCCCATCAAAGTTTGCAAAAAAAATTTGTAACCTTGCCTTTTCCGCATTATAAAGCCTTATTATTTCTTTCTTAACAGTTTTGCGACTATAATTTCTAAATTGAGGGTTTAAACTACCTTGTGCATAATCTCTTAAAGCAAGACTTTCAGAAAACATATAAGGCAGATTTTCTTCACAAATTAAGTTAGCCATACCAGTCAAATTTTGTGCATCATTGTAGGAGAAATTACCAAAAGGTTGAGAATTCGCAAACCTCGATATTTGAGTTTGCTTCCCCGTTCCGCCGCCTAATTTTGCATACTCCACGGGGTGCTTTGCCTTAAGATGCCTTGCGGCGGATCCGTATCCGCTGGAGGTTCCCAAACTATAATTGTTGTTGCACCACTTGCAAGTTGCGTGCCAATAGCCGGTTTGTGGGTCCTTCCATTTATCAAAATTATTTTGCATTAGTTCAGACAGTCAGACTTACTTTTTTTATTACCGGTGGCGGTTTGGGATGAGGCAGGCTCGTCGGCGTCGTGGCTGCCGGCACCCTCCTCCTCGGCCGTATCCGGTTCCAATTCCTCCGCATCTTCATCCTCAAGCTCCTCTTCGTCAATGGTCGTCGGCATTTGTTGTTGTTGTAGAAAGCGGTTATTATGTCGGGCCAATTCTTGTTGGAGTTGTTCTTCGGACATCGCATCTCCATCTCGCCTTTGGTAACCCGTTTCAAAATCATCTCGGCTTTGAGATGAAGAACCGGCAAGTTCTTTACCTTTGCGG